TTTTTTTTTTTTTTTTTTTTCTTTTTTTCTTTTTCTTTTCGAACCGATCTTTCCGATGCCTTGAAATACAATTGCTATCTAGGCTACCAGCCGGGCCGCCCGGGTCCCGGGTGGCCAGCCCGTGCAAGGACCAAGGAAGGTCCCAGCAAAAAAAAAAAACAAAAAAAAAAACAAAGAAAAAAAACTATGTTGTGCAGAAAAATAAACTGAACAACTTTTGCCTCAGGGTGACATCGAAATTCTTCACCAAATTTAGAATACAAAGTAAAATTTAAAAATAATTCTTTTATTTTTATTATTTTTATTTTCTTGGGCCCGGCCGGGCAAGTGACCCCGGGCCACTCTGGTAACCTAGATTGCTATCGAAAAAAAAAATTACAAAATAAACACCAGTCCAGTTTCATCCCGCCGACAAGTGGAAGCTGAAACGGTAAAATGTTTTCCAGAAAAAGAAAAAAAAACAAAAGCTAAATCCAATACATCTCGTGCTTATGATGGGCCTCTTACTAGACTACCAGTAGTCACGGATAAGGGGAAAGAAAAAAGTGATTGTATCTTCCTCCCGAAGGCGGCCAGATACATCCGTCACGTATCATATAGTGACGGAGATGTATCTTGCCAAGTTCTGTGGGAAGATGCATTCGCATCCACTTGTCTTTTGTTTCGTTTCGTGAGAAGTGTGGCTACAGTCTTCCCCCGCATCCACTTGTCTTTTTTTTCACATTTAATTCTGATGGACTACATGCGAGATATTAAACTCTGATTAAGGAGGAAAAAAAGCAGACTATACCTTGGACCTCGCCCCACTACACAATATTCTAAATGTTCCAAAAAAAAAAAAAAAAAAGGTAAAAAAATTCTACATGCACGTGTATGGATCGAGGGGCGTGATCTTTAGGCAAAAGACCGAGAAAAGCATTCGGCGACCGCGCATCTGCAACTCATCCGTTGTCTTGATCTTTTTTGTTTTTTTTTTTGTTTTTGTTTTTGGAAAGGGCTGACGGCCTTGAGAGAACGTCATTCAATCTTTGCTTCCAGTGGAGTCTGTATTTCATCAGTTCGGGGCTGTACCAACTGAGCTAGGCCAGTTGGTTTCTCTTCTTCTTCTTTTTTTTTTTTTTTTTTTTTTTTTTTGAAATTCTAATTTTATTGTTTTGAGCCCAACCAATTCAATTACCTGTCAAATCTGGATAGGACGGCCTTTTAGCCCTTTATTTATTTATTTATTTATTTATAATTTATTTATTATAGTATTACGGGGAACCCCGTAGCAGCCACATCCGTGCTCAAGCCTCCAACTAGGAGGGAACGTGGGGGAGCTGTGCACCTAGTCAGCAGCAGGTGCAGATACCTGCTTGCAACAGCAGGTGGGCGATACCGACCAGGGGTCGGCCGGTAGCATTAGGACCTACAGTAGCTTCTTCGATGGGCCGAGAGTCACTGACAGTGTGCCTCCCCTCAGGTGGTGGTCCCCCCCACCCTATGAACATCGGCAGTCTCTGCTACATGCCAGTCGGGGCCACCAGCGGCCTATCTCTATCTAGGTGGCGGGCGCTAAGCTTGCCCAGGAAGGTTTCTCATGAGGCCAATGGGAATTGAACCCAAGACCTACTGAATGCCACTTGCATGCCTTAACCAACTGAGCCAGGCCTGTGGATGGTTTCTCTTCATCTACAGTAAGGACAGTCTGATCGTGGGCCAGTTCAGGTACTCCGACCGTGTTAGGGCATACTCGTACTAGGGGACTTTCTGGACTCAGCTCTGGACGGGATTGCTGTCAGGTGCATTCAGGTCTGGATGTAATTGCAGTCAGATACATCTATGACAGAGCTAGTATGGGTATGACCGTAGATGGATTCCGGGACAGCTGGCCTCCACATTTGAGACTTGCATACGCTGATCTACGGTTGAGATTGGATTACCTGTGGATGGATGAGATTTGATGATCTGCGGATGAGGCTTGATGATCTAGATGCTAACCTGATCTACGGTTGAATTTTGATGGCCTCGATGCCAAGCTGATCTGCGGTTAAGATTTGATGATCTACGGTTGAGATGTGATGATGATCTTGACGCTGATCTGCGGTTGAGATTTGATGGTCTAGATGCCAAGCTCGTCTACGGTTAAGATTTGACGATCTACTGTTAAAAGATGTGATGATCTTGATGCCGATCTACGGTTGACATTTGATGATCTAGATGCAAGCTGATTCTCTATATGCCAGGGCCGATCCACGGTTAAGATTTGATGACCTGAACGGTTAAGATTTGATGATCTGAACGGTTAAGATTTGATGATCTGAATTTGATGATCTTGATGCCATCCGGGCGAGGTCGACCTAGCAAAGAGGGTTGGATTTAACGCCCCCCGCCCCCCCCCCCGGCCCCCCCAAATTTTTGGGGGGGTTAGGACTATTTCTCGGTTTGTGCATGTCATTCTTAATTGATCGGGGGCTATGCAAATATTTCGTGTCTCGTTCTAATGTTAAGCGGATGTCGCTTTTTGGTTTTTCAGACCTCTTTTACGGTTTTCCCCCAACGAACATAAGGCATTGCCATTACAGCTGTATTTACGACATTTTTATGGCCAGATACGGCTATGTAGTATGGATTGATGGCTCACGTGCGTGAGAAGACGGTAGACCTGTCTCTTATACACATCTAGATGTGTATAAGAGACAGGAACTGCCTTTTATTTGAAGTTTAAAAGTTAACCAATGAGTCTAGCTCGGTTGTGTACACAAATGATGAGAGCAGCAGAGTCAGATCAAGAAAGCCTGACCCCAAAGCACGTGCACACATAACCGCAAATGTCACAGCAAATGAACCGTTGAAATACGGACCCAAGTTCGGCAACGTCCTGCCGACGTAGATGTATGCAATGCATCAGTTCTGAATTACCTGTCGACTGGATGATGATATGTCAAGGCCGTCGCCGTTTTTGAAGGGAAGAGAAAAAGGGAGAAAGGGAAAAGAAAAGAGGGAGAAAGGGAAAAGAGAAGAGGGAGAAAGGGAAAAGAAAAGAGGGAGAAAGGGAAAACAAAAGAAAAGGAAAAAAGATCGAAGTTGAAACTGGCTTTTCTTTCCCGCTTCACGCAATTGTTTGTAGTTAAAAATGTTTTTTTTTTTTTTTTGTTCTTGCTCTGTTCTTCGCGGGTTTGTTTGTGTTTTGGGTTTAGAATGATGACTGCGGAAGACGCCACCCTAAACAACGCCGTCGCAAAAAAAAGAAACTATGTTATGCAGAAAAATTAACTTACCAACCTTTGCCTTATCGAAATTCTTTACCAAATTTAAACTAAAAAATAATAATATTAAACGGTAACCTTTTTTTTTTTTTTTTTGTTGTTGTAATTATCCCGGTCGGGCAAGTGGTTCCCCAGCCACTGGTAGTYTAGTAAAAAAGTCAATTTGTTGCGAAAATGACAGTGTGTAGGGTGGAAGCGTGTTTTTTTTTTTTTTTTTTTTTTTTTAACACGACGCTTCCATCTTATTCCATATCTCGTGAGTTATTTCACAGAGTCGAACTGTTTCTGGTCTTTTTTTTTTTTTGTAATGAATAAAATGAAGGCCCCGATCTATTCGTGGGGAGAGATCTTTCTTCCCAAATGCGTTTTGATTCTTATGGATATACTCTCAATTAGCCAAATTAAATAGTTATATAAGACGCGACTGAGAAGTCGATTTACCAAACGAGCCTACTGTAGCTCAGTTGGTGCACCCATTATTATCTGTTGAATGAATTACAGACCCGACTGTCTTAACCCGAATATAACGCCCGGTCATTGTACCTGTATTTGGCACAACTTTCAGCCCATATACGGCAATAATTACCGTGCGTTCTATTCGGGTGAAGCCGAATTTACTGAAGTAATTCTGAATTCCCTGGGGCCAGTCAACTAGACGATGATATTTTAAGACTGCTGCCTTTTTTTTTTTTTTTTTTTTAATCCTATGGTTTGCACAGGATCTTCCTTCTCTCCCCAGCGATTTTTTTCCGATCCTGTTCGCTTGGCTGCGAGGGGTTGAAAGCTTTTGATTGGAGTGGATACAGAATCACAATGAGGTAGAAAATGACGTTGCAGTTTTTCCTTTTTTTTCTTTTTTTTTTTTTTTGCGAACGGACTTTTTTCTTTTCTTGTATTGTTGTGAATGGGCTGGGCTACCAACCGGACCGCCCGGGTCACCTTGTTTGCCGGGGTGGTCCGGGCGCTAAAGGACCAAAGAAGGTCTCAGCAAAAAAAAAAAAAAAAAAAGAACCGGAAAAAAAAAGTTGTGCAGAAAAATAAACTGAACAACTTTTGCCTCAGGGTCACATGGAAATTCTTTTACCAAAATAAAAAATTAAATTAAACTTAAAAAACAATGTGCCCTTTTTTGTTTTTTTTTGTTTTTTTTGTTTTTTTTGTTTTTTTTTGTTTTTTTTTGTTTTTTTTGGGTTTTGGGTACTCTCTACCACCCTGTTGGATTTTCAAGCACGCAATGATGTGTGAATTCCATGGTGGAATGATGTGTGAATTCCATGGTGGAACTTTGTTGTTCCGATTTCTCTCCGATCACCGAACTTGGGACAATGCGGGGATGACCACTCCGTTGGGGGCCCGTTCTGTGTTTTTTTTTTCCCCTTCTTTTTCTTTTTTTGCATGTGTTTTGTTTTCTCAGACGTGTGAGCAATTGGTGATTTCGATGGTGTCGCTTTGTTCTGATTCCCGTGGTACCAAACTCGGGACCAGGCGGGTCTCCAACTCCGTTGACGGTCAAGAGCGGTGGTGGCAACACGGGCCTGAGGAGGAATAACCTGATGACTGGGCTTCGGCCACCAAGCCCCAAGTCACCGATGAAAGGCGCCGGGCAGTTTCAGCAGGTGGAACTGACAGATGAAGATGACGATGAAATGGACCCGGAAGAAGATGGTAATGATGAAATGGATGGCGCTGTTGATGGGGAAGGTGTAGAGGACGATGAGGTCGTTGATGGAGGAGGTGGTAGCATCGGAAAGCTGGTCAGTATTTTTGCTTTCAAGGACCACCACCTTTCAGGCTGTGACGCTAAGTTGTAAAAGTAACCTACGCCGAAAAAATCGCCGTCGCATTGGGCCTCTAAATTTGAATTCTGAGGCCCGTGGGCCCATAGACGTGAAAGGTCATGGTGCGTTAATGAGAAAAGACAAAAGCTGGTTTGCTATAATGGGAAAAGAAAAAAGCTTGGCTTTGGCAGGGGGGGCGGGG